CCTAACCCCGGAGGCTTATCGACCCAGTTCCTGACACGTAGATACATGCCGAGGAGTTCTTATTCAGTGTGTTTTATTCGAAATAAAATCTAATTTATAGTGATTAGTCAGCCTCCCTTCGCCACCTTTCTCTCCCTCCCTCCTTCTACCAAATTTCCAAAAAGCACTGATCCAAACAAAAGACGTAACGTCTATTACAGCAGCTCATTTGTTGGCGGCAAGATGAAAGGTGTCCATTTAAATCTTAAGCTGAACGTATCCGGCTCGTTTATCTTCGAGGCAGTTATTCTAGATTCTTGCAATTTCAGGTCCACACAGATAATCTTTCTCACATGCGCAAGGTCATGTTTCGGGGGATGGTAGTATTTCTGCACTTTAGGTACAATAGTAAGACATCCCAGTGGGAATTAGCATTACAGGGATGTTGATTAATCTCCATTGGTTGGAAGGGCTGTCAAAAATGGATGTTACACTTGACCTGTAAAGAAGCATATTGGTCAACTAGTGGGGAGGAATTTGCAGATTCGACCTCCGGGTGGCAACTCGAAACCTCCTTCGAGTGTCTCAAACTATCACAAGTATCGATTCCTGGTTTTTGTGCACTTTATAAGACAAATAATGAAATCATCAGAGTTAAATATCGTGCTATCCACTTGATAGATGTAGACTGGCAAAAAACCTATTTCATGTCAGTACGGAGGTTGAGAAGCCAAATAAATCTGCATTTCATTCGACCTTTTTGACGAAGGCAATATCACCGGTTTGAACATCCCTCGAGGACGATTCCAGACCGGGCGTCAGGATCGAATTCCGATGAAGAAAGTCGCGTCAAACAGTGACACTGCTTGGTCCCTATATAGTTCCATAGGATGTTGCAACTTCGAGTGGTCGGTTCGGAGGCGAATGTATGTGCAGTTATTTTATTCTAGGAACGCCGACCTCCAGAAGGCAAACGAAACTGCGCGAACACGGAAATAAGGACCCCCCTTATCACAGGTTTCCATGCGTTAAATCCTATGGGGTGTTATGGTCGGGGGTAATATTAGAGTCAGAGTCAGCTGGACCATCTGTACTAAGCGTAAGATGTGGTTATATAGCCCTGCTTGATCGATACAATACTGATGGCGTTGGGGTTAGGATCGGGGTAAGCGGTTATGGTCTAGGGGGTTAGGGCAACTATTTCTCAACCACTCAAAGTACAACCACGTATTTCTAATAGTTTTTCTTTTGCATACAACTACTTGTCCTCGTCATCTGTGCGTTCCCCGACCCCATCTGTAAAAACCCCTATTACCACCTGTCCCGTATTACAGGTGGTTGTGGTTTGTTTACTTCTTGTGGAGTTACATTACTACATCTGACCCTAATAAGTGTCTATGATGTAAGAGCTTATGGCGTTTTCCTTTCGTACATTTTAATACGATAAAAGGCCAGCCGTACAGTCATGGATATCCGGACTAGCAATCAAAGTAGTAGGTTCTGCCAAAAGTGTCATAATCCTCAGACGGGGTCTCAATGTAATTTGTCCTCTCTCTCCCCCCACCTACCGTGTTGACGTTCATGCCACTCACTCTGACCTCCGCGACTCTGCCGGTCGATGCGTAACAGTGGATCTGGAACACCGGAACGTCTGGACGTCGTGCCTATGAATTAAAATGACGGCGATGAATAGTATTGCAGGAGATGTTAAAAGAGGGTGTTTGTCACGACCAGATACCTGCTTACATCATTTGGACGGGCTTCATTTAACCCCTCTTTATTTCGCTCATTCCACGTCACGTCTCCCATAAGTTTTGGCATTCGGCTTAGGGTTAGGTTTAGGGGACTATGATCAGGTGTAAATGCTAGGAATTAAGGTTAGGATTGGGGGTTAGGGTTTGGGCAAGGGTTGGGCTTAGATGTTAGTGCTAGGATTAAGGGTCATGGTCAAGAATTCAGGGATTGGGTTAGGCCTAAGACATAGGCTTAGAACTAAGGATTAGGCTATCGACGTTGCCAACCTCATTTATATCTCCGGCAACGCCATCGTGGGAGTTGGAATTAGCGATATTCTCTTCTCACTTTCTCCTTCAATGTGCCTGGTTATCGTGGACTGGAATCAGTTCGCTTGAGATATCTAACCAGTGCCCACGGTTTTCATCTTTCCTGTCCTTTTACAGCTCCAAACCTCCGCTATTTCAAATTGTGCGACCGCATTTTTACGTTTTATTGGTGTGTTTAAATATAATAATCATAATATATATATATAATATAATAGGCAGAATGATATTACCGACAAATTTATTTACCGTCGCTTCCCGTAAAAAGTTGTTTACCCTACCCAATTTGACGCCTATTGCAACGGTTCCCTATTACAGGATTCCTTGTCTCCAGCTTTCTCTGCGAGGTTAAATATCCTACCTTCGCCCCAACAACTAAAATTCCTCAATCGTCAGACCGAGTATCAATGCAAGTTGCAAGTGACCATTGGATAGGAATCTAACTTCGTTTATCCAGACATGCTTGCCCGCAGTAGCTGAAAACCTTACAGGCATTTTGTTCGTGGGGGGGAATCTCAGAGTTGTTGTCCGTGATTGACATTGTCGGGAGGATTTGGAATCTACATGGCACATTGATTATTGTATTTTGTAGGACCAGGGATTGCTGTGAATCCCGGATACAGTGGAAATTCGTTTACTGTCAATCATGCGAAGCCTTTTTTGCCTGTCTAGTAACTCTTCAACTGCCTCAGTGTTGGTCTCTGAGACAACGGTTTGCCTGTGCTATTTAGGTTTGCTTGCCGTGAATTGTCATTATAATTTATAATTTTGCCACACAAAGATGACTTTCCGGACAGTGTCTGAGAATAGCCCTCGGGTATGTGTCCTGTACATGATGTGATGTAGAACTCTCGGTCGGGGAAGTTTTGGTCTGTGCTTAGTTGCAATCAGATTGTGAGGTGGAACGAGATTAAGAGCAACGTACAGATGCAAACCCAGTAGGATGTTCTACCCAATTTCTTAT